AGCAGTGGCCTCTCCAGCATCTTGCAGCATAGACAAGGTACTAGGTCATATTAAAGAAGGGTGGGCTACTTCTGCAAGACCAGAGGGTCCAGTAGAGACTGCAGCGTCAACATCCTCAGGGGCATCCATCCAGATGTCCCCATGGCATGTTTCAAGGTTTTAGGTTTTCCCCACCAGGGCCCTGACTCTTACAAGATACATACAGCTTGGCCGAACATTCCAGTCTCTGAAACTCCACAACTACAACCATTACGTGTTCAGCCTGAAGCTCAGCTATTTCAATCCTTCCATTGCAGGAGGTAAAGCTTACTTCAAAGCTCCCCCCACCACTTCTGTAGGACATCAGTACAACCTAGCAACAACCAGCCAACGTTCTTATAGACATTGTTCTCCCCATATTTTTCAAACACTTTCATCATTGAACTTCCTGGAAAATTCCCCTTCATGGGGACATTTTCCCAAGTTACCACCTGTGTCTGGGGTCTTCTAAACCACCCCCAAGCTGAGTAATTTGCTAGAAGGACTCACAGAACCAAGCATAGAGTTGTACTCACAACTATGGTTACAGAGAAGACTACAAAGCAAAATCAGCAGAGGGAAAAGGCACATGGGCAAAGTCCAGAGGAAACCAGGCATAAGCTCCAAGAGTCTTTTCCCAGTGGAGTCACACAGGATGAGCTTAATTCCTCCAGCAATGATGTATAACAATATATAAAGTGTTGTTCATCAGGGAAGCTTGCTTGATTGAGCCTAGGAGTCCAGATTTTAGGGGGGGTCAATCACATAGGTACCCTCTGTCTAGCATGTACCAAAATTCCAGATTCCCAGAGGAAAGCAGGTGTTCAACATAAATCCTCTTGTTTGTACAAACATTTCAGGCACAGTAAACCACCCTTATCAGTTAGGGAATGGTGGGAATACTCCTGAGATCCAAGCTGCTGGACACTGGCCAAGGGCCAACCTTGCAAGCAGGCCTAAGGACAACAGGTTCAGGCCTGCTATGTTAACTCTTTTCTGCATACCATCTGTGAAATATTTAGCAACTGAGCCATGATCTTTGCTGAGAACTATGTGAACTCCACTTACCAATAAGGATGTCATTTTCTTTACCCTTTGGGTGGGAGATGAGCCAGTTCCTAATACCCATCTTACTACCTGTTTCGTCAGATCTCACTCCTGGTCCACTTGTGTTAGTCTGGGTCCTCCTAGAAGCAGACGCCAACACCAAAAAGGGATTCATTGTGCAAAAAGATTTATTAGGGACAATGCTTGTGAGGAAAAATAGGTAGGGAGCTGGGGTTGGTGGGAGGCTGGGAGGAAACAGACCACAATGCAGGTATGAAAGGAGGAAGGAAGGTTGGGTGAAAGCAACATAGACTACAATGTACTACTAAGGGAGTTTGGCAAGACCATCAGAGGGTCCTCCAGCTAAAGCTGAGGGGTCTC